CCCAGACTGCCAACACTAAGCAAAGGAAATGCTTGGTTGCAAACCGCTGATTCCCAAGAAAGCCCAGTAGGCAAGAGATGAAGGATGAGGGATAGCAGAACGATTTAGCAACTAAAACTTATTACAGGATTCATTACATTACCTTAATGAAAGTGGGATTCATGTGCCGCTTGCAGTGCTACTCTGTAACTGTACTCGAAGCTCTGGCTCTCCAATGAGGGGTTAATGGTTTGGGGATGTTTAGGGTTTCGGATGCCCCCTTGAAGCGTAGACGAGGAGCTTGGGGGCTTGGGAATGTTTAGGGTTTCATGAAGTGTGTCTTGAAGGAGGATTTTCAGACTCGTACCTGTGGCTTGGGCTAGAGATTATTTTGGGGTTGGTCTTCGCTTTCGTCTTGGTTTACTAGTAACTTAGTATTCCCACCCTGGTCTTGGTCTTTACCCTAACAACTTGCACGTCTTTTTCACGCACCGCTGCACGAGAGCTGCCAGCGAGGACGTCTCAGGCCTGGCCGGGCAAAGCAAGCTGCAACAAAGAATCAATGGAACTGGACACTGCATTTGCACGAGCCAAGCAGGTCGGTCACTTCATTCATTTTCCACTCAGTTGTGTGCGGCAAGAGTGAAAGAGCATGCAAAATTTGATGCCATCAGCACATTGAAGGCGCTTATTCAATACATATTGGTAATGATGTAGTGTACTGCATTGACACGAAGGCGAAGGCCCAGTTGGAAAACCCAAGGCCAAGGCATCATGCATGCTCCCGAACCAGGATTCCTTGTTTCCTGTAAGGCCACAGACCCAGACAGCAGGCCCAAGGCGAAGACGACATGAAGAATGCTCCCGACGGAGGTGCCCAGACTACAGGGCATGAACTTCAAAAATATCGAGCATCCAGAAGGATGCTGCTGAATCCTTGCATGAGGAAGCAGAAAGCTCCACTCAGCAATAATTCGATGTTTAGGGGTTTGTTTTTGGGTTTTAGTTAGTATATATATATATAGGTTTTAACAGTCTAGGGGTTAAGACTGCAGGGTTTAGGGTCTTTCAGGCATTTGGTTTGGGCGTGGTTTGGGGAGCTTACTTAAGGGTCTTAAAATCACACCATCCCCCTCAAAAACAAACACAAACCCGAAACACTGAACCCCTAAAAACCCTTACTAAAACAACACAAACCCTTAGACCCTGAATCCCCAGACCCTACACAAAACCACCGAATACCAAGGCCCGTGACCCGCCCCTAAACCCCGAACTTCGTTGCCCCCCCTCTAAAACAAACACAAACCCGAAACCCTGAACCCCTAAAAACCCTTACTAAAATAACACAAACCCTTGGACCCTGAATTCCCAAACCCTAAACTCCTAGATCAAAACCACCGAATACCAAAACCCTGATCCCCCCTAAACCCCGAACTGAGCCCCGGGGCGGGAATTCTCGATGTAGGCGATCGTCGCTAGGGCCGTTCAGCTGCGGGACTCTGAGCGCGGCTATTTATTGGAAGACCAAGACCAGGGTGGGAATACTAAGTTGTTACTAGTATACCAAGACGAAAGCGAAGACCAACCCTAGAATAATCTATAGCCCCAGCCCCCAGGTACGAGTCTATCATCCTTAAAACACAGCTCCCAAATTCCACTTCTATTCTTGGAGCCAGTGTATGATTTAAGGAAGCCTGTATTAGGTGTCCAACATACTCGACAAACAGGGCCTCCAGCATGTACCATTCTCCAGAGATTAACGTATGAACATACTCTGTACATACTATACTAATGTGCGAATATACTGTAACTTAGTAATATGCAGGTATACCCACATGACAAATCAGTATACTAACATGCCAACATACTGATATACTAGCAAAAACACTTGGACAATGCACGAATATAGAAAATTTACTAGCATACTATTATACTGATGTGCGAATATGCAGGTATGTTCATATATTAATGCACTAATACACCAATATGCTAATGCATTCATGCATTCATGCACCAGTTGTACTAACATGCTACATATACTAATTTACAAGGATACAAACATGTTACTGCTCGAATACATAATGTATTGATATACTAACCTGCTAATATACAACCTATCAATATACTACTGATTCTAATATTGATACTCACACAGCACTTCTGCGAACACTATATTAAACCCAGCATTAAGACTGATACTAATACTAGCAGTAGTACTACTACTGGTACTAATACTAGCAGTAGTACTATTACTGACACTGGCACTGACACCAACACGAACATGAGCACTAACACTAATTTGTATTTACTAATATGGATATTCATACAAACAGTAAACACCAATACTTATGCTGATACTCATCCTAATATCAGTACTACCACAAAACTATTAATTCATTGCCGCGCGTCTGGTGCATGCGTCCTCAGTACATGGCATGTCAAAAGTATACGTTGTATATGTACTGTAAAGGTACTTTACAGATTATCGTCGTGTGTGGTGCGTTTAGATACAATATCTCGACCGACTCACCTGCCAAGAGTCCACTGTCACTAGGGCATGGTCTGTAAACCCTGTCTGGGGTTATATATATATATATGCACACACACACATTATGTATGTGTGTGTATATATATATATACATGTATATATTGCCGTGCCCAGAACGACGGCCCTCAACAACTTCCACGGCCATGACGCCTCTCCCAAGTCTGGCAAGCTCAAGCTCCTCCCGTTCTCCGTCCCCCGTCCCTCCTACTGGTCCTGCTGGACAAGGAAGCCAAACAGTGGTGGCTACGACGCTGGACGCACGCTGGCCCGGCCCGGCCCGGCCCAGGCTGGTCCATGTGGCGCCTCGTGGCGTAGGGGTGCCCGAAGCCTCTCGGCCAGGTCATGGGCCTTCGGCACGATGCAGCAGTCGTGCAGCCACTCCGACCGCAAAAGAGAGGCTCCGGGCTGAATCGCAGAAGCCGTGGCAGTGCCTGCATCCGTGCCTCAAGCGGAGCAGAAGAGCGCAGCGCAGAGAGCGGAAGCTTCCGCCGCTTCCGACCGCTTCCGAGGTCTCGGCTCCCGAGCTCCTTCGAATGGGAAGTCTCCGAGTCCAGGACCTCCGCTCACTGCTGCGCGGCCGCTCACCGCCGCTCGCCGCACACCGCGGCTCACCGCGGCTCACCGCCGCGCACCTGGAAGAGCTCGGCGCGCTGCAGCTGCAGCTCCTTCTGCGAGCCGATGCCCGCCAGGCGCGTGTCCAACTGGAAATGCACCTCTGCGGCAGCCGGGCCCGGCGGCCCGGGCCCGGCAGCTGTCCATAACAACACTTCAGCATGTAACACTTATTGTAACACATTGTAACACATTGTATTCGGTGTAGCACCTCAGCCTCTACACTCAAAGGGTGGAGGAGAAACACTTCACACGCAGCCAACATCGCCTTTGCCATGCGGGCATTTGGCCACCAGGGAGGGTTGAACAAGGCTTGATGCCGAAACCGGTACTCGCTGAAAAAGCCTGCTCCGTCCTAGTGAAGTGCACAGCCAAGGACGCAGTGGCGCCCAGCCGTTGCCGGGCCCCCCACTTCCACGCTCAGGCCGGACGCCCCGGCGACGAGGGATCCGGTCACATTCTCAGCACCGGCGAAACCTGCATCTCTTGCGCAGCTATGTCAGCTATGTGCTGCGTTGCAGAGGGGCTTCTGACGAAGAGCCCCGCGCCGGTAGAAACTGGTGGAGACACCGATGACCTTTCAGAAAACAGTATGCCCACAACCACGTGGCAAGATGACCCAGGCCCAGGGAGCGCCATGCACCATACTTAACCAGACATGCGCATGCCCTCACTCGTCGGCCCGCCACAATCAAAGAACACCTTCATATCTGTCGGTCTTCGGCTTATAATGCTCCTCCTCCTCGGCTTCGATAAGCGCTCTTGCTTGGCCCTTGCCACTGCGCCCTTTACCTTGAGCCTTCTGCTTCAGGATTTTCAGCTGAGCAAAACAGAAATTCACACACACACACACCCGACACATCCTGTGTTGTGCCACAAGTTCACCTTACATAAGGATTCCGTGATGCAAACATGCACACAGCTTGGGACACAATCCCTCCGCGCCTAACCATTTATAATGTTCACACTCTCTGAATAGGGTTCAAGGCTTTTGGGAATGAACTTGGTGGTCTTGTTCGGACGGTTTGGTTGTCACACCGAGCATCTTCAAGAACAAAGCCTGTCGCTGGTGATGCCAGCTGGAGACAAGTAGCTTGTCTTAATCGTCCATTGCAATAATATATAATTGCGGACATGCGTGTGAGGCCAGCTTTGGGGTCAACTGGAAACACTGGAAACCACGCAGGTTTATGGGGAGAATTGGAGAATCAGAACGAGAACACGCTGTGGCAAAAACATCGACGAGAACACTACACATCTGCCCATGGTTCTTCTCCTCAACACCGTGAGGAGTCGAGTCAGGCGGGTTAACATGGAGCCCTGCGGGACGTGTCGACGGCGCATCTCGCTCCGCTCTGATCTCGGGCCCCCCACCACCAGCGCGAGCTGGAGCCCTGCGGAGAGGAGGACTGCAAAGAAGAAAACGCGGAGCAGAGCCCAGCGATGCCCAGCCCCAGCGCCTCGGGCGGGAGCCGCGCACGGAGCCGGAAGCGCACGCGCTGCAGGAGGGCCTCGGAGCCGAGGGAGCTTTGAAAAAACGAGAGCTTGGGCTTCGCCCTAAGCATCCTGGGCTCCAGGGCCAATTTCAGTGGATCCCCGCGGAAGGGCCGGAGCTCCGGAAGAAGAACGCCTCAGACTCAGCGAGCTGCTCTCTCTGCTCTGCCGCAAGGGCCGCAATGCGACACTTCGCATCGACGTCGGTTGAACTGCTGCTACCTGTAGCCATATAATGCTATCTGCTATATAGAGTCTTCACGCCAGCTTCGGTGCAAGACTGCGTTCTAGGATCTCGGGCGATAGTGCGGCGTAACGCCACGAGAGCCCAGCATGATCACCTGATGAGATGAGACGCCGAGAGCATTCACGCCCGGGCCCGAGCGCTGTGCCGCAAAAATAGACAAAAGAGAAACAATAACATACTGTAACACATTGCTTCTGGCCTCTGCGTGCAAAGACTGAGGTCAACAGCAGCCACAGGGAGTCGGGAGAAGAACGAAGACAATGCAGACAACGGCAAGCCGAGCAACTCTGCACACGCGAATGAAGGGCTTACGCCGCTGGAGGCCTCTCTCGGGGATCGCCAAAGGCTATTCGCGACCCGCATCTCTGCCGTATCCAAGTCGTCGCCCAAGACGAAAGCGTACTCCAAGTCGTACTGCACTCCCTCCTCCTGCAAGAACGTCGAACGTGGCAAGACCACCCCGCCGCATCCGCCCCGCATAAATCCTCCTCTGCAGGAAACTCGATGATGGCCTCACCTCGAAGGCGCGAGCGACTGGCGAACGGCGAGTGTTCCATTGCATCGTCTGCAGGCCCTGGCAGCAAACCGCCTCCTCCTGGCAAGGAAGCAATGCAGCAAGCAGCTCTGGCACAGACATGGCAATGGGCCACACATGGCTATGTTGCTCCCAAGCTTGCAAGAACTTCGGAGGTAGGATGGGGGTGATGGGGGATGATGGCGGGGATGATGCTCCTCGGCAAAGGCGCTTCCGCTTTCGCTGTCCGGCACCGGCAGCGGCGTGGGCGGATCCTGCAGGAATCGCTTCACAACCCGTCGCTTCAGCGGTCACTGGCGGCACCGCCTGGTAGGCCACGGCCGGCTCGAGGACCACGGGCTCCGTGACCTGCTGTCCCGACCTCAGTGCCGCCGCTCTGTAGTGCCGCTCTGTCAGCGTCGCTTGGGCCGGGACCAGAGGCGCATGCCCACCTTCGGATACCGGGCCTTCGCAGAGAGGGCGCTTCTCACTGCGTCACCTTCCTTAACTCTCCTTCTCAGATCCCTCCTGCACGGAGAAGGTGTAGGTGGTGAAAGGCAAGAGGTTCAAGAGCTCGTGTTCGATGAAGCCTCAATTCGAAAGATATATATCTATATCGGCCGGGCCTTTGGGCGCGGCATGGCGTGAGAGATGTCCACGTCACAGCAGTCGGAGCGTCGGATCCGTCGGGCGGGGGGCGGCTCACTGCACGGGCGCCGCCCCTTATGAGTCACAGCCCGCGGGGGCTTGGGCTTTGGCCACCCCGGTAGCGGTGCTGAAAGGTCAGCGCTTGGCTCGGGAAAGCCTCGAGCGCCGGCTTATAAGCGCAGAATTCAATGAGAAGAGAGAGAGAGAGAGAGAGAGAGAGAGAGGGAGGACGGATGAGAGGAGAGGAGGCTGTGCTTTAATCAGCTATAGATGAATTAAAGCAGTGGGTGGGCTCTCTGCTCTCTCTGCGCGCTCTGCTTTGCGCCTTCGCTCCCAGGGGCCTTCCGGAGGTCTCCTGCCTCGGCGTGGCCCGGACCTCTCCAAGCAGACTTTGCAGAAGGCGCTGAAGGCTTGGGGCGGCGGAGAAGAGCGCAAGGTTTTCATGCAAGAGCTTTTTGTGTTAACGCTACACTTGCAACGGAGTTTTTGCAACAGTTTTATACGTTAACACTACGCGCCGCAGCGCCGCAGCGCCGCAGCGCCCACGCGACTTATACATGCTCATGCGCAGCTCATGCAGCTCATGCAGCTGCGCTCCTCGTACTCGAGCAAAGTCAGCCCGGGCGCTGGCTTGAAGTCGCCCCAGACCCTGAGAGAGAGCTCGCGCGCGCGCGCGCGCGCACAATCCCAGCACCCCCTCCCCCCCCCCCCCCCCCCCCCGTATATCTTTGAGAAGTCCAAGTGACACTCGAGCTGCTGTAGCTGACATCACCTCTAGCACGACAAAGGCTGATGCTGGAGCTATAAGGCACTCTGAATTGCGCGGCGGGGTCGTCGTGCCTCAACTGTAACTGTCTTCTGGGCTTTCAGTGACGCGGCAGTCGGCGGGATCGGAGGTGGCACCTCAACGTCAGGGCAGAGATCTTCCGTGGCCAGCGGCCAGACACCAGACACAACAACATGTTTATGGCAAGCCTGGAACAAGAAGGGGATGGAGGTGTGGGACCACTCGGACCATGTCTTCCCATTGCCCACACGAACCTGGCCATCGGGTGGGGTGCAACGTGCGAGGGCTGCGTTGCCAATGCGATATTGAAATCCGGACACAGACAACACAAATGCGGACACAACTCGCCGTTGCGCCTGGAAGGCATAAACACCGCCGTCCAGGAGTCCACTGGCCAAAGCCGGCAACTGAGCTCAAAGAGAGAATCGGAGATTCGATCAAAAGCCATGGCCCACATTCGTGGCACAGCAAGCAGTGGCCGTAGCAAGGGTGACAGATGAATCGCTGCAACGACAGCAGCATCCGATTGCAATGCTCATTCAAGCAACCAAACAGAAACACCACACACCCACACACCATCACACACCCACACCCACGATGAATCATTACATGAATCTTAACAGGGCCAAGCTCTACGTGCGCATGCGCTCACGCCCGCGGTTCGCGGACTCCGCTTGAGGCGCGAGAGGCGCCTCGAAGGTGGTGGCTCCGGCGGCTCCGGCGGCTGGTCCTCCTCCCAACTCCAGGGCCGCCGAGAGCTGCCACTCCGACGACAGCACCTCAGCGGTTTTCAGCAGCACAAGGCGCTTCGCCCGGCCCACGCGCGCCTCTCGCTCCAAGTCCATGCGATGCTCAGGCAACACGCTGGACCTCTAGGCTCCGGCGGCTCCAGTGATATATACTCATGGTTTCAGGAGCGGCTTTCTGCCAAATGCCCGTTGGGGCGGAGGCTGCAGGGAGCAGCGCGCCTGGACCATGGTGACCTGCAGTGACGAGAGGCGAGAGGCTGAAAAGGCTGAAAACCGCCGCAAGCCCTCGAGAGGGCCATGCCAAGCGGTGGCCGTAGCCCCAGGGCATGGAGTCCAACCTAAGAAAGCCGCGACACCACCGCCATCTCGCAGAAAGAAGAGACAGAGAAGAGAGAAGGCCCCTGGCGCCGTCTCTTGCCAGGACCTGAGCCAAAGCGCGCGCGAAAGCGGAGCCGGCTCCACGCGGCAGCTTGGGCTCGGGCTCTGGGCGAAGCGCCGGCAGCAGCTGGGCCCTGCGGAGCTCCAAAAGCTCCTCCAAAACCACCGCTTTTGACCCGCTTTCGCTTTTCGCTTTTGGTCCGATTCATGCAACCGTCAGTGCCACAAAGCTACGCTATGTCGCTTTGTCCTATGATCTGCTGCGAGGGCTAAGCAGGCCACAGACGATTGCTTTGCAAGAATCTCGCCTTCGCTTCTTCCTCCTCACATTCGCTGTCGTCCTCCGTGTCTTCCGTGCCGGTGCCTCGAGTAATATGGCAGTAAGATGTGCAAGCACCATGCTTTCAAAGCTCCCGGCGCAGCCCGAGATAGCACGTGGGTGTTGGTGGCGGCTGGTGCTGGAAGAGCTCGATCTGCAGACTCAGCGTCCACCGGTCGTCGGAAAGGATCCGCTGTATTCGAGGCCTCAGACTCAACCCCCCGCCCGGCCCCAAGATTCTCTTCAGAGGTCATAAGAGCTTCCATGCACGGCGCTTCAATGTCTGAGTCCTCCACGGGCGCCTTGGAGGAGCCTCTGACAGCGATGCGAAAAAGCGATGCTGACAGCGCGCGCTGACCCATGGAGTCTGAGTGCTGTGGGCGCAGCGAAAGCAACAGCCAAGGGCTCGGAAACACCGCCTCGGAAGCTCCATGCTCTGGATGCCGGCGCTCTCTTCCCCATGTGATGTGGGCCTTGCCTGCCCAACGGCAAGGATGGGCTGCACCACGGTCGACCGCGCAAAGTCGGAACCTGCGAGATGGATCCGGCTCTGCGTACTTCGCGGACGGACATTTGGAGGCTGGTTTAGGACTTCGCGAATTTCTGATTGGAAGCTATAGCTTGCAGGGGCCACACTCGATCTTGGTACATTCTTGGCAGTGGCAACTATATTCGTCTGGTGTGCGACCCTGCGCGAACCGGAATCTCGATCTTGTTGCTGGACCACCCATGCGGGGAGGGGGGGGTGATACAAAGGAGTGATGGAAAACCGCAACCCGGGTGCATTGCATACTTGTATAAGAAAAAACAGAAGAAGCCTGAATCTTTGCGTCAGTATGGTGATCATCCCTAACAGCATCGAAATTCGGCGTCCAACAGACGCAACTCTGCCTGATGCGTAAAAGTTCGCGGAAGCATTGCTCATGCACTCACTGCACCTCACCGCGTCAGGAATCGGCCCAGGTTGTCCAAAAGCCGGAAGCACAGCCAGGATAATGACCTGAGGTTGCAGGGAGCGCAGGGCCGGGCCATACCGCCCGTCGAAAGCAGGGAAGAACTATCCATATTTGCATTGTTTTTTCCGCGCGGTGCCTTGGAAGGCGCCAAAGAAGTCGCGCTTGCCTCCTTCAGCTCCCCTGTGAAAAGCCGTGCGCGCCCGTCTTTTCACCAGAAACTCCTACGGCCGGATGGTCCCCCAAGCCTGCGGCAGCGCTTGGGATCTCTTGCAAACGGTGCACCGTCGAGACGCGTTTCCAAGCGCCTGCCTGCGCAGCGCCCAAGCGACACATGTCTACGCATGCGCGCGTGTGTATGTATGTATGTATGTATTTTCAATATGCATATTGATGTTGCTCTATTGATTTTTTCCATTGGAAAAGCTATACCTGGTAAGCCTGGAAGCCGTTAACATCCCGTAGCATCCTCAATTCTGTATGAATCTCAGGAGTTGAAATACAATTCTGGCTCCGGGTCGACTCTTGGCGTTCGGACCCGTTCGGGGCTTCTCAAGAGAGCCCAGGCCTGAGATTTCAGATGTGGGGTTTGGGTTAATTGAGATTGAAGATTGCCGCTTTCAGCTGCCCAAGAGCATCAGCTGCCCAAGAGCAGAAACCATGCACTCCTGCCAAAATCGTTCAAACATATATGATAAACCCTATAAGCCCTCGAAGGCCTATATAAACCCTAAACAACAGGAGCCCTGTAAACACATGTAAGCATATATAGGCACACCCTAAAACCCGAAGCCCTAAAGAGCAAAAAGCCCTACACAAACGAGCCCCAAACCCGAAACCCTAATTCCTCTGAGCTCCTCACCGAATGCTGCCCGCAGGCTGCTGCTCTCTTTTTGCACATGAGGCTGCGCCAATCGGATCACACAGTAATCAGAATCGCCAAAATGGCTCTCAATGAGGATCCCCTCTTGATAGTCAGGAGTGGCCGTAATCTTCAAAAGGCCACCCTCGAAGTACACAGAAAAGTGGCCACTTTGAGCATCCTAAGATTTTGAGGTGCTCGCGAGTGCCTGTCACTGGCGAGGGCGGTGGGGTGGAGGCGGACAACTTGAGAAGAGGGCAGCGGCAGTCACAGGAATCCGGCCTACATTCCTCTGAGCTCCTCACCGAATGCTGCCCGCAGGCTGCGGCTCTCTTTTTGCACCTGAGGCTGCGCCAATCGGATCACACACTAATCAGAATCGCCAAAATGGCTCTCAATGAGGATCCCCTCTTGATAGTCAGGAGTGGCCGTAATCTTCAGAAGGCCACCCTCGAAGTACACAGAAAAGTGGCCACTTTGAGCATCCAAAGATTTTGAGGTGCTCGCGAGTGCCTGTCACTGGCGAGGGCCACCTCTTCCACCCCCTCCCGCCAGCTGTTGGCGCAGTTGCAGGACGACGAGCACCAAAGTGAGGAAGTCCCAGGGGCGGGTTGGGAGGGCCACCTGGGTGACTCCAGGTCGGTTGGGCTCATTGTTATTGCTTCCTGTGGGCAAAGGTGGTGGCGACGAAGCCGGCGGCGAGTAGAACATGGGGTGGGCCACCGGTTGGCCATACCCCACTGTTCGCTGAGCCACTGCACCATGGCGTCTTCGACCTCATGGGATGCCAGCAGCACCTGATACCAAGCCTCTTTAATTGAAGAGGTACCAGATCACGTGCATCGCCGCCTTGACCACCAGCCGCAGTGTGAGGGTCACTGCCAAAGCCACTTTTCGGAAAGAGCACCAACACCGCCAACAGCATGAAAGTTCTCCATGAAAGCTTGGTGCGCCACCAGGCCAACTGCTGCGGGCCCTCCACAGGTTCGGTGACGGGTCTCAGAGGCCGGGTGCGCGCCGCTGCAAGCTGCGCTTGCCCTGACGCAGCTTGCCCGGTTCTTGTTTTGGTACCACCCACTGAGCGCCGCCGCGATCTTCGCCAGGGTGCTGGTCCACTGCCGAGCCGCGTCGCCACCTCTCCACCTGGCTGCCGCCTGCGGCACTGCGCAGGCGACAACCCGCGGGCCACCTCTTGTTCTCCGAGCCGCGCCGCACTCTGCTGCACTTGTCGAAGAAGTTCAGCGGCTCCCTCCGGAACTGAAGGAGGAGTCTGGAAGAGGCTCTGCCAGGCGGCCGACTTTATGCCTCAGCCGCACGACTCAGGAGAGTCCAAGACCTTGGACGAGGCTCGGGCGATCTGGGCACGAGCGCACCCCGACACGGTGATGCCCACGTTGCGCCTGTGAAGCCCGCTGGCCTGGAAGCTTTCCCACGAAGACACCCACACGATCGAAATCTCTCGGATTGGCGACCACAATGTAGATGCGGTCCTCCGTGTGCCTGGCAACCACTGAACCTGTGACCCTCAAGTGGTCTGCAACTAACTGCCACTCGGGGAGTAGGGTTGCTCGGCTGGCCTGTCGGTGGCGAAGTCGCTGACGAGCTCGACGTTCGACCAGCGCGGCCTTTTTCGGCCGCTGTCGGCCGGCGTTTGGTCCGTCCGGACCTCCGCTGCTTCCCGGCTAGCGCTCTCGACCTCGTCTAGGGCGCCGGCAAGCACTCGAAAGGCGGTCAGTCATTCCGTGCTTCCAGGAGCGACTTGAGAGGACGAGGCGGCGGTGCACTAAGTCGATCTGTGTAGTTGTGTCCTAACCTCCTTGATCACTGATCGCGCTGTGTCTGAAGCTTGGGAAGCAGTGTGAACAGCCATGGCCTCGTGCAGGTAGTGGCGGAGCGTTTCCGCGCGAACCCATCGACCCAAGTACTGCAAAGGGGCTAGGTCCGCAAACGTCTTGAAGTGGTGAGTCGCGCCTCCAGAGCGGAAGCTGGCCAAAGTGTAATGTGCCTCGGACAGATGCATCTCAGACAGAACTGCGGCCATCGATCTTCATGGCCCATTTGCGCCTTGCAACTCGCATCAGAGATCTGCCCCTTCCGCGGTCCGTGCACCACCACTTTAGCCATCTGATTACCTTGGGGTCCTTGACGAGTACAAATTGACGAGGCCAAATGCGACGGGTCTTGGGCTTGCTGATTGTGAGTACTAACCCGACACCCTCAGACAACTCTTCATCTTCAGGGAACAGCAAGTCTCCGATCTTTAATCCCATCACCTCGCCCGGTCTGAGCAAGGCAACGAATGCCAACCAGGCCCCCACGAAATATGAAATCCATTCGGCACGCTCCTGCCCTTCTGCATCCGCCCCTTTGTGCAAGAACATAAGCAGCAGAGCCTCCAGGATGTAGAAAGTAATGGGAGTCCGCGACCGCGTAGGTTGTAGCGACTGCCATCCCCGGAACGCGCCCCATGTGTTACGCAGGAGTGGCGCTGAGAGATTGAACAGCCTCTGCACCCCGATCAGCCCCAGCTTCACCCAATACAAACGTTCTCCACGGTTGTGTGCCTCCTCGACTGCCTTCTCCAACCACTTGTCAACCCACTAACTCCAGAATCCACAGGCATGCATCTTGTAGATGTCGACGGTACTCCGGAGTGAGTGCGATGTTGCGCAGCTTAGTTCGCCCTCTGCCAGCCCCGGAGGGCATCGGCTACACTCCGGCAGAATCCCCAAATATACACCCCAGGCCCCGCCGCAATGCAAGTATGAGTCGAAGTGGCTGAGGTGCGGTCGGGTTTCGGAAGTGCGTGCATCACACCATGGACCCAGGGAGCATTAGTCACAAGCGTTCTTATCCTGCGTCCCGGTGCTCTCGTTTGATCTCCGTCCCAGAATGCACTAAAGTCAAACTGCAATCGAACAATGCCCTCCCTTCGCAAGAACAGCTCGGTGTCTCTCATACGCCACGCCTTGGAGCCCTTCGAGTGGACAATGAAGAAGTAGCCACCGGCATCCATGACCTGGGCAGCCAACTGTAGCACACGTCTCCAAATAAGGTTTCCCCACGCGACCTCGGGCTCCCGCACATCACCTTCGGGTAGTCCTTTAGGTCTCGCGGTCCCCCTCCTCGTGCTGAAAGAATGATGTGGAGGTGCTAGCCACACATCGGACCCGCCGGCTCACAATTAACTGCTCCAACTTCTCACTCCAGAGGTCCGGGCTGGTGCTGTGAAGCACCGGCTCCTCCATGGTCAATCCGATCTCCCGGTGAGCCTGAGTCAAGCGTGCTGGACCTGCAAATATATTTCGATGCCACGGAAGTCACCTTCAGGGCATACCCCTAGGCGAGCCAACCATTCAGGCGGGGACCGTGGCGCCGGTAACGGTCTGAATCTCGATGGCCAATCGGCCAAGTTGGACTCGGTCTCAACCCACAGCAGGGCGAGAGCCAGGTCCCCAAAGATCAGATACGGAAGCTGAGATCGCAACATGCCGTTCAACTTGAATGAACTTGATCGGCCCTTGGTGCATGCTCCGACTACAACACGGCTGTCGTTGAGGCATATCTTGATCTGCCCACCGTTGTCAAAGACGCTGGCGAGTCGTATCACCTCCCTCCGAAGAGCCCGCAGCTCCTGTAGGTTGATGTGGGAGGTCTGTCTGAACTCATAGCTTCCTACCACGTGCCACTGCAAACATTCCGAGGCTAGACTGGCGAACTTGGACGCCTCTCGAGGCTGGCAACTGGCAACTTCCAGCATCGAAGTCCGAGGTCCTGTCCAGGCGCACCGCTTCACCCTTCACATCGGTGTGCCTCCAAAGAGCTCGCACTAAGGGCTCGGGCGCCTCGGCCACAACCGCCCCCCCACTCGTGGGCGTGGCATCTGTGGCGAGGAGCTGCTGATCGAGCCGCCGCCTCATGTTCCACACTGAAAACGGGAGGTGGAAGGCACAGCTACGCAGCTCGTCTACAATGTGCGCGGGTAGGAAATACCACTTACCTTCAACCAAGCCCGAGACATACTTGTGCATGTGGTGTTGCAAGCAATAGCACTCCCGCCTGTGCTGGAAAATGAAAGAAAAGTAGCCGAGGATCGCCTGCAAAACCTCCTTGCTGGCCCAACCTGATTCCACCACTCGCCCCACTAAAACCCACACCTGCCGACGTAGCGAGACTGGAGCACCGACTCGCCCTCGAACTCCATCCACCTCGGCGCCCCAGGCACGGAAGGCCGTCTCGAAGCGAAAGGCTTTGTGTATGGCCCGTTCCAAGCCGGCGGCCTCGTAAGCTTCTTCAGCAGCCCGCACATGTAGAACGTCTTCATCCTCGGGATCCGGGGGAGGAGCTTGGAAACTGCCATCTACGGGGACTACCTCACCATGTTGACAAATGCGAGCAATCAGTAGGTCATCAATGTACACGCCCTCCACCAATCCGAATCTGGTATATG